ATGTGTTAGAACACAGATGGGTTTTATAATTTAACACATCTGCTGCTGAGATTTGTGCTACAAATGTTTTTTTTTGGGATTTGATGTGGAGGTAAGGTAAATCCCTGATTGTGTGCAAACTATGAGTGGACAGACCAGAATTTCTTGCTTTGCATTTAATTTCACCTGAAATGTTGGAATATTTACATATAATGTTGGTATATTTACTAAAGCAAGAGGAATTTAATATTATGTAAATCTCAGTGCAATAAGTAATGCAAGCCATTGTAAACAACATGCAAGGTCATAGTCAAAATGGCATAATATAACCCTACTGTCATTGTATGATGAGTAGATTCAGATGTAATATTTCCTTCACACATTTATTGTAAAATGCTATAAATAGTTAATTTGAAAGAATTAGAAATATTATTCTTTGATTGTACACTTATCATTTGAAGACATTATAAATGTGCATGTGTCCATCTATGTATTATAAGGCCAAAGAAAATTCTTAAAACTGAGACAGAAGCGCGTGCCTACATTATATTAAAATCTGTCTGTAGATCAATGGTGTTGCGTTTAAATCGTGATCGTGATCGTGATCGTGATTGTGATTGTGATGGTGATGGGAACTGGGGATTAGGATAAGGAGGTCTGGGCTGGGGTTTGGTGGAGAAAAAAGCAAGTCAGCCCATATTTAAGTTTAAAGGCCCCTTTGGTCACAGACTCTTCCTGCATCGGATCAAATCAAACGTGATGTTCTGTTCACTATTTCGTTAACACCAGTAATACGAATTAATCAGAATTACTTTGAGTGCAATGTGTTATACTTATAGCAAATATCAGTAATTGGGGAGAAAAAAAAGCAGCTGCCCTTTGATGATTAGTCTAGGGAATTAATAATGGGAAACAAGAAATAAACAGATTTTGAACAAGAATTTTTTTCTGCCTTCGTGGAAGGCACTAAAACTCATCCTATTAATAGAAAATCAAGGGCCAAAAGAGGGAACTTCAAACAATAACAATCACTAGAGAATTAAACAAATGGGATTAGTCTGAAAAGTCCTCTGGAACTGACAGACTGTTTGCTGGGGATCCAAAGAAGTGGATGCAGAAATAGGTGGATGTATTGGTTACAACCTTCAAATGTTCCATCAATTTGGAAAAAAAAAGTTTCAGTGGATTTAAAAAAAACTCTCAAATTTAATGCTTTCTTTCAAGAATGGAGGCACAGAGAAAGCAGGTAACCAGAGTCTGTTAACCTAACATCTGTCATTGGGAAGATACAGGAAATCATTATTTAGGAAGTAGCAGCAAAACGTTTAGAAAATCATGATATAATGGTTTGTGAAAGGGAAATCGTGTTTGACAAATTCATTAGAGTTCTTTTGAGGATCCAATAAGCAGGATGAAAAAAAGTAAATCTGTAGATAAAGTCTTTGAAATTCCAAAGGGCATTTGAAAAGATGGCATTAGGTTACTATACAGGATAAAACTGATGTTGTTAAGCTAATATTGTATATTAGCATGGATAGAGGATCAGCTAACTAGTTTCTTGATCGCAAATGGCATGAAAGGATATAGGGATTTACAGGAAGTGGAGTTGTGGTCGCAATCATATCAGCAGGATCTTATCAAATGGTAGAATAGGCTTAAGAGTTCAAATAGCTAATGCCTGCTCCCATTTTTTTTGGCTCCGTGCTTATAAAAAGAACAGAGAGCTGGGATAAATGGATCATTTTCAGGATAGTAAACTGCAACAGGGATTAGTGCTGAGGTCTCAACTATTTATGATCAGAGTATTATATAGCCAAAATTGCTGCTGATACAAGGATGCTTGGAAAATCGAGCAGTGTGGAGAATATAAAGAGTCTGCAAAGGAATAAAAGTACCAGAAATGAGCAGGTCAAAATAGTGTATGATGTGGAAAAATACAAAGGTATCCATTTTTGTAGGAAAAATAAAAACAAAATATTAGTTAAAAGGAGAGAAACAACAGAATGCTGTGGTGCAGAGGGATGTGAGCGTCTTTAAATCACAAAATGTTAGTATGCAGATATAAATAATTAGGAAGGTAAATGGAAGATTGCTTTTAATTGCAAGGAGATGGAGTATTAAAGTAGTGATGCTTTGTTTAAACTGTACAGAGCATTTGAGAGGTCAAACCTAGAGTATTATGTGCAGTTTTGGTCTCTGATATAAGGAAGGATATACTTGCACTGCAATTCAGGAAATATACACTACATTGTTTCCTGGGATGAAGGGTTGTCTTTTGAGGAAAGTCTTGGCAAGTTTAACCTGTACTGATTGGCATTTAGAAGATTGAGAGGTGATCTTATTGAAACATAAGATTGTCAAGATGGCTTGACAATGGAGATGCTGAGATCTTTCCAAGCATGAGTAATCGCCAATCCGGGGGTATTGTTTCTGAACAAGCCGTTTAAGATGTTCGAGGAAAAATTTCTTTTCACAAAGGGTTATGAATTTTTGGATTATTTTTACTGCAGAGGACTGTGAAGGCTGAGTAGTTGAATATTCAATATTTAACATTATTGAATATATTCAAGGCTAAGTCAGTTCAAAAGGCTGTCTAAAAGGCAGCCAAGAGGTTGCACTAAAGATCTCCATCAAATTCTTGTTCTGCATTTGAAGTTGCAAACTATCCATGAGTTTTTCTTTTAACTGGGTTTCTTCACTGTCTCAATAGGTGCATAATCACTTTACACCATCATACCTAATGAAAAGTCCTCAGAAGAGATTCAGATTGCAAAACCAATCATTGTGTGACTTTTAACCATCCTTTTCATTAAAATGTGAGGAACAACTATTCTAATCATAGAACGTGCCCCATCAATTTGGTTCATGCTCAGATATCTTTTAGCAATTAAATTTGAATTTTGAAAAAAATTGGACTGGACTTTTGTTTGCACATCCTTTTTTATCTTGAACGGAGGGATGGAGTTGTTAATAAACATTAAGTACTAATTGTCCTCATCTTGTAGGATACAAAGAACTGATTTATTTTGAATTCCACATTCCTCCAGTGTCTTTGACAGGTCACTGAAACTTCTCCTAGGCACATCCATGGTTTCAACCACAGAGTTAGCATAGTTGTTATTACTCTTCCATTCAGCCACAGACAGGATTGATTGTAATGTGTCTGAAGGCCTGAAGCAGCGTTCAAATCTCTGGCCCGATGGGTATCTCACAGCAAGTCGCAATCGTGGCTCAGATTCTGATGGTTCATCAGGTAAAGTGAGTAATGGATTCTGAGATACCTGTGTTTTTGTGGTTGAAGTTCTAGACTTAGAGAGTGGTGGGGGTGGTTTCTTTTCCCTGTTTGATTTTAAATTTTGTTCAAGCCCTGCATGCAGATTAAGTTTATTGGTTTGTTGTGCTATAGTCCTTATTCCACTTTCACTGGACTCTCTTCTTCCGATGGATGGTAAAACTCTGTACCTATTTAAGGATGAGGATGGCCGAGATGGAATTTGATGGATAAGATTTGGAACATCTTCGTTAGTCACTCGAGTAATCCTGTTGGGTGGATGTAAAATTGAAGATGGAGGACTGTTGCTTAGGTCACTAAAAGCCGATGGAACAGGAATGGGATCTGAACAAATCTCTGGACTTTGAACATAAGCAGAGCTGGGGCGACTGCGACCTTTGGCAGATTTAGGCCTTGGAATATTCATGGTATTTGTGTTGGGTTTTAAAATTGGGTATATGGGAAGATCAAAAGAAGAAATACTTTTGGACCCTGAGGGTGGCCTACTAGTTGGTTCTGCAGCTGCCATTTCATTCTCAGGTAACTGTAAAACAAAATACAAGAATGTATTATGTATAAAACAACTATTTAGTTCTTTACAATATTTAAATGGTCACATCAGAGAAGAAATTCAAAGCAGATGTACATTTTTGTAGGAATAATATAAAGAAATGTAACATGGTAAATTGTATCATTATAAAGGTATGTGAAAACAGAGATCCCTGGGGTGTTTGCTTGAAAGTCTTTGAAGCTGCTAGCACTAGATAACAAAACAGATGGAATTCCACCAAAAGAAGTTTTGCAAATAGAGGCAAAGATTTGATGGGCTGAATGGTCTCCATTTGTGCTGTACCATTCTATAATCCTATGATTGTAAAACACTTAATTTATTAGAATTATGTTTAAAATATTGACTATTGTATACAGGATATTAATGTTAATTGTTAAATTGAAATCCTTAATTCATATTTGAAGAACAGTCCTTCTAGCTACAAGGCACTCATTATTGAGACTAAAGAGTTTGCAACATTTGTGTCGTACTTGATCTGGCAATGAACTTCTAACCACCCATCTGCAGACTAAGTCTGCCTATTTCCACCTTGCTAACATTGCCTGGCTCCAGCTCTGTCTCAGCTAATCAACTGCTCAGACAATCATCCACACTTTAATGTTCTCTTGTTTTGACTCTTCCAGTGAACTCCTGGTAAGCATCCTACCTTCGACCCTCCATAAACTGAAGCTCATTCAAACCTCTGATCTCAATATCCAAATCCGCACCAAGTTTTGTTGACCCATCACTCCTCCACAACTAACGTTCTCTGGCTCAGAGTGAAGCAATGCCTCAATTTTAATATTTACATTCTCGTTTTCAAATTTCTTCATGATCCTTCCCTATCTCTATAAACCTCTCGAGCCCTACAGCACTTCCAGATCTGAAGAAGGATCACTGGAGCTGGAATGTTAATTCTGCTTTCTCTCCACAGATGCTGCCAGAACTGCTGAGCTTTTCCAGCAATTTGTTTTTTTGTTTCTGATAACCCCAAAACATCTCACACCCAAAGATTATGGCAAGTGGCTGTTAGTTTATTATTTATTATGTATTTAGAATTCAGTATGGTTTTGGAGAAGCAACCTAGAGCTTCAATTTTAACATAGCAATTTATGAATTGATATCAAACAAAAACTGTGAAAATCGCTGAATTATGACTAACATGACTAGTTTACTAATATCCTTTAGGGAGGGGAAGCAAGCCTGATCTATATGACTCCAGAGCTATATTACATGATTGACTCCCAATGCCATTTGTGGCAACAAGTTCCAAATTGCCTGTTCCAGTCCTGTACCTGGAACAAAAAAATAAAACAATTGCATACTTCTTCAGAAGGGGAGGTGATGGCCTAGTGGTATTACCCCAGTACCAAAGAAAGAACATGGAACATGCTTTAATGACTACCGCTTAGTGGCTCTGACTTCCGTAATCATGAAGTACTTCAAGAGGCTGGTCATGACCCACATCATCTCTCTCCTCCCTACCTGCCTCAATCCGTGCAATTTGCCTACTGGACATAACAGGTCGACAGTGGACCTCATTTCCTTAGCTCTGCACTCATCCCTGGAATAAGTGGATAACAAAGACACCTACATCAAACTCCTACTCGTTGACTACAGCTCCACCTTCAACACCATAATTCCCTCCAGACTAGTCTCAAAACTCTTGAGGCCTAGGTCTCGGCTCTGCCCTTTGCAAGTCGATCCTCAGCTTCCTGACCCACAGACCGCAATCAGTGAAGATAGAACTGCCCTTCTCCACGACAACCCTCAACAATGGAGCTTCCCAAGGATGAGTTATCAGCCCCCTACTGTAGTTCCTGTACACCCATGACTGTGTAGCCAAATTCTGATTGCACGCCATCTACAAGTTTGCTGATGACACAACCATGGTAGGACGGACATCAAACAACGATGAGTCAGAATACAGAAAGGAGCTAGAGCGCTTGGTGTCATGGTGCAATGATAACAATCACCTTTCTCAATGTCAACAAAACAAAAGAAATGATCATTGACTTCAGGAAGAAAGGAGAAGGACATACCCCTAACTACATCAATGGAGTTGAGGTTGAGTGGGTCGACAGCATCAAGTTCCTGGGAATGATGATAATCAACAACTTGTCTTGGACTTCCCACGTAGATGTGATGGTCAAGAAGGCACAACAATGCCTCTTTTTCCTCAAGCAGTTTAGGAAATTTGGCATGTCCATAAAGACATTCACCAATTTTTACAGATGCACCATAGAAGGCATACTATCTGGGTGCATAGTGGCCTGCTATGGCAACTGTTCTGCCCAGGACCAGAAGAAACTACAGAATGTTGTGTGCACAGCCCAGACCATCACGGAAGCCAACCTTCCATCGATGAATTCTATTTACATTTCTCGTTGCTGCAGAAAGGCTGCCAACATCATCAAAGATCCCTCCCACCCCACTAATGCTCATACAACCTCTTCTGTCAGGTAGAAGATGCAGAAGCTTGAACACTCGCACTAACAGGTTCAAGAATAGCTTCTTCCCTGCTGCACTCTCTAACTTCCAATAATGTTGGTCTTGCTTTGTGTACCTCCTGTGTAGTGTAACCCGCATGCCTCGCTCTGTCTAAGCACCTGTAAGATCTGTATGTCCTTGTCTGCCTGTACTACGTGCAAAACAAAGCTTTTCACTGTACTTAGGTGCATGTGGCAACAATAAATCAAATCAAATCACTCAACTGTTAATCCAGAGACCCAGGTAATGTTCTGGAGATAGTAGGAACTGCAGATGCTGGAGAATCCGAGACAACAAGGTGCAGGGTTGGATGAACACAGCAGGCCAAGCAGCATCATAGGAGCAGAGAGGCTGACGTTTCGGGCCTAGACCCTTCATCAGAAAAGGGGGAGGGGAAGGGGGTTTTGAAATAAATAGGGAGAGAGTGGGAGGCGGATAGAAGAGGGATAGGTGGAGAGGAAACAAACAGGTCAAAGAGGCGGGGATGGAGCCAGGAAAGGTGAGTGTAGGTAGGGAGTTAGGAAGGGGATAGGTCAGTCCAGGGAGGACGGACAGGTCAAGGGGGCGGGATGAGGTTGGTCGGTAGGAGATGGAGGTGCGGCTTGAGGTGGGAGGAGGGGATAGGTGGGAGGAAGAACAGGTTAGGGAGGCAGGGACGAG